TGCGCACGCTTGATCTGGGCCGTCCGTGCGCGCGGGGACGCATCTGGGCCGTCCGATCGCGCGCATGCGGATCGCCCACGTGGCATGTTCCCGAGTCGGCCTGGCCTTGCCACGCGGCAGGTCCTGGTTGGCCAAGGCTGCTGACTGGGCCGCTGACGTGGCTGCTGACGTGACGCTGACGGGGTACAATTTTTTTAAATTGCGTTTTGACCCTCGGTTTCTGAATTTCTTTTCAAAAATACCCCCAGAATCCAAATTTTCACCCCTTTTTTCCAAAATCAATTTCAATTAAATCCAAATAATAGTTTTACCCAATTTTATCATTATTAATATTTTTATACTCACAAAAATTAATTTAAATTAAATTATATCAAAAAAAAATAAAATAGAAAAAATTATTTTGGGTGTTACAATCCGCACACGTGAGATCTGGGCCGTCCGTGCGCGTGAGATCTGGGCCGTCTGCACGAGTGAGATCTGCACCGTTCGATCGCGTGCACGCGGATCGCTCACGTGGCTCCGTCCCGCGTGGTCTCCCCCGTCAGCTTCCTTGCCACGCGGCATGTTCTGGTTGGCCGGGGCTGCTGACGTAGCACAATTTTCTTAAATTGCGTTTTAACCCTCGATTTCTGATTTTCTTTTCAAAAATACCCCTATAATCCAAATTTTCACCCATTTTTCTCAAAATCAATTTCAATTAAATCCAAAAAATAATTTTACCTAATTTTATCATTTTTATCATTTTTATTTCTATTAAATTAAATTAAATTAAGTTAAACAGATAATTATAACAAAATAAATTAACCATTAAAATAAAATAAAATCCAAAAAAAAAAGATTCCAATACCCAAAAATAAAAAATTTATTTTTGGGGTGTTACATCAGCCGTTCGATCGCGTGCACGTGGATCGCCCACGTGGCTCCCTTCCGCGTGGCCTCCCGCCTTAGCATCTCTGCCATGCTGCGTGTCCTGGTTGGCTGGGGCTGCTGACGTGGCGTAATTTTTCTAAATTACATTTTGATCTCCGGTTTTCGATTTTTTTTTTCAAAAACACCCACATAATCTAAATTTTCACCCATTTTTCTCAAAATTATTTTCAATTAAATCCCAAAAATAATTTTATCCATTTTTATTGTTATTATTATTATTTTTATTTCTATTTAATTAAATTAAACTAAATTAAAACTATATATTATTACATAATAAATTATTATATTCATCTAAAAATTACAAAAAAAAATTAAATAAAAATAAAAATAATTTGGTGTGTTACACGTTAAGTTATAATAGCACTAAATCACGATAATACAAACTAGAAAGAATTCAAGTTTAATAGATGAAAAAATAGTAAAAAAAAAACTAATTATTTATTAGATTTTTATTTAAAACCACGTAATATTAAAAATAATTTTCAACAGATATATAAAATAATATAGAATATTATTCGAATAATTGAAAAGAAAAATTGTACTTGGAAAAAAAAAAAAAAAAAAAGAAGATGTATTTGTATAGGTGGATATGAAAAAGGTGAGGAGTAGAGCATGTGTAATTTTGAAGATGCCTTTTGGTGGTAATGATTTGTCGAAACGTTTTTGGAAAGTTGTAATGGTTGTGGGATTCCGAGTTTCCATCTCTTTATCTCTTCTGTCTCCTCACCACGCCCATTTTTCCTTTGTGGCCCGTCTAGTCCCCCACAATCTCTCCCTTTTAACTCTATTTCATTTGTCTTTTTTCTTCCATTTAAATCTTCCTCTAATTTGAATATTTTCTCAAACTCTATTTTCAATCTAATTAAATACAAATTATCCATGGGTGAAATTAGAGGGAACACAATGAAAATTCTTGAGATCTCATTCTATAA